CGGGTGGATGCTTTACCACCTTACCGAGTCCAGAATACGGGGCAAAACAACTCGACCCGTCAAGTATTCCATCACATATATTATACTCCCAACCCTTAATGTACTCACAGAATGGATTTAAACCACAGGTAACCATCTAATTCTCTTTTTCCTTTCCTTTGATGTGATTTATTAACAATTATTTGAAATTTCAGTATTTAGATAGCGACCTTGTCATAATACCAGATGGTAATGTCAACGAGGAAAACGAGAACTTCTACATCCTTATTCCTTGATTTAATATTTTTTTTCATTCGTAATTCGAAAAGATGACATAGACACCAAGATAATACCTCTAGGAACTAATGATTCGCTGCCGACAAACATCGTCACCACCAATATCTGTGCCTTTGATGAAAGAAACTTTGCTAATTACCCACTTACACCGAAAACACCTCATAACGATAAATTTCAGACAGAACTACCATCTCAAACCCCTCCACCTCCAGAAATAAACCTTGATTTAGCGAATCTCTACTATGAACAAGGATATTTCCTTCTTCATTTCGCAAAACCACGCGATCCAGTCATGGCCGTTGAAAATTTCAAGGCGGCTGCAGATCTTGGTTCAATGAGGGGCAAGCATGAGGTGGCCTATTGCTATCAACACGGAATTGGTGTTAACGCGTATGTATACAATGAAGAATGGAAGTATTTTTCGCGCTTTTGTTAATGTATTATTTTGATAAATCTAGAGACAAAAGACGAGCCGTCGAAATTTATCTAGAAATAATTAATGCGTATCCGCAAAGTGCAGCAAGCTTAAATCAGTTGGGATTATGCTTTCAGCAAGGAATTGGCGTGGAAATTGACGAAATACGGGCGATAAATTATTATCAACGCGCCGTTGACCTTGGGTAAAAAATTATACTCGCATAGATGGATATTCTTGGATCATGATTTCTCTAAAGTTTAATTATTTTGTTTACCCCAGAAATATCGACGCAATGTTTAACCTTGCGTATTGTTTACGACATGGAATTGGTACCCCCGTCGATGATCAAAGTGCATTTATTTTATATTTACGCCTTGCAGAACTAGGTGATCCTCAAGGTATGAAACTTGTTGGAAATTGCAAGTTGGCCGGGATTGGGACGCCTAAAGATGAAACCGAAGCCCTCAGGTGGTTCCACCAATCTAGTAAATGCGATTTCTATTGGGGCGGTAAAATGCAATACGCATTGTGTCTCTTGAACAGTAACTCAAACTATAAAGAAACGTTCCGGTTAATAAAAGAGGTCTGTGAAAATTTTCCTCTGTGTCCTGGCCCGAGCAAATTATTGCTTGGTAAATGTTATCATTTTGGAATTGGATGTACTCCCGATTTACGAATGGCCTTGTATTGGTATGGAAAAGCTCTACAAAGCTATTTTATGTCCTCGGCGAACGTGCAAGAATGTGAACGGTTAATTAGTGATATTCGAATCCGCAATGAATTTTCCACTGTACCCGTGGTCGTAAAAAGTGAACGGATAATGGTTGATCGTTCAAATGGAAAGGCAACTCCTTATTTCGCGATTTAATGACGTAACGATTTTTCATTCGTAAATTACCCGCCTAACGCTTTTTGTTCATGTAAGAAAAAACGAAGTTATATATACTGTATATTTTTTTTCTTCACCTTATGATTATCTTTTTCCAAGCTCCTTCGTTTCCCTTTTAAAATTACGGTGTTCATTTATTGTAAACCCTTTAAAATAAGCATCATCGCTAGTGAAGAAAAAAAAAATCACGTCTAATCTTTAAGCATTAAGATACAAAATAATCATTGTAAATAAAATCTGTTTGTGTGGTCATGTAATAAGTTATTTTCTTATACTTTACATCTAAATTGTCTATTCCATTTGATCGCTCCGATCAAATGGTGGAACGGAATGAAGAACTACTTCGGAACTAATAACTCGAATGTACTGTAAGTATATTCGAGATATTGAATGATCAATACTTTTTTTTGTACATGATATATTTATGACGGAATAAAAATTGCTGTTGGAAATTAACAAAGACAAAGCAAAATAAATAAATTCAAAAAATCGATAAGCGTTTGTTTAGCATGAGGTTAATTTTATTAAATTTGGATGCTATAAACAAAACCTTTAAAACTTTCTCATATAGTTCCTGCTCCTTGGAATATAGAATATTGATCATGGATTTTTCTGATGATATTTGTATTCCTAACATGAATTTGATTATTTTTCCAGTATTGATCACACAAGTCTGTCTTTGTTCGTTAGTCTTTAGGCATTGGAAATTTGTATCTAGGTTTAATCATTGACAAGTCGATTCGATTCATTACCTTAATGGATTGTTGACTGATTATTACATTTATTACAAGTGGATAAATCATACGTATATAATAATTATTAAATCAAGATAAAATTAAGTTTGTAAATAATATACTGTATATGTGTTTCTTTTTTTATACTATTAAAAACAGGTTATTTTAAGTTGTCTATATTTATAATGTTTGTAATATTTATAGGATTAAATCTTTTAATACTGTATAATTATTTAACATTTCTATTTTATATCAGAACCTAGTTACATAATGCAAAATCATATTTATTTGTAGCATTATATACTGTATATGCTAATATTATATGTGTATTTTTTTTTGTTAAATGAGACATTCATATATTTTTATTAATATAGTAAAGATTTGTTTGTTATATTATTAATATTAAAATATAAAATCACTGTTATATACTGTATATATCAAATAATCACTAATTAAGTATACTTTTGTAAAAAACCTTATGGCAAGAAAAAAAGAAAAAATCTATTTGATTTTAAAAAATTAATACTTCTTTATATTATTTGTAATATATTTATAAATTGACTATTATGTTATATAATTTCTTTATATATTTTATATACTTTTTTTATTATACAAAACATAATTAATATATGAGTTTCTTATCATATGCTGCAAATTATATTTTACTATATTTTATATCATATTGTTAATAAAAAATTAGATATACAAATATAAATAGAATGAAACATAATATAATACATTTATGAAGAGTATAATATAATAGTTAAAACATCAAATTATATACTAGTTAAAAGAAATTTGCAGAATGTAATAATAGATTCAAGGATGTATTATAGTTTATATAAATAAAACAAAATCCATGCAATAGAGAATATATAAAAAAAAAAACTCTTATACACTTATTGCTAATTTTTTGAATTTTCTTTTATAATAATTTTATTTGAAGAAATATTCTTCACTCTCTCAATATGTTACTTATGCTATAAGCACAAAGATATAAGAATATTAAAAACTATTGTTATATTAAGATAAAATCTCTAGACAAAGGTTAAGCAAGTTTGAAAATTTTATTTGTTCTTTGTTTGCATAAAGAAAGACCTGTAGCAGTTCTTCTTTATAAGTTTATTTTTATGCACCTTCTTTTATTTAAATATTATCACTACTACTTTTATACTATTCCTTAATACAAATCTATTATTAAAATATATTCAAGCAAAGTTACTAGATCTCTTGTTTGTTTCATCAAATCTTTTCAATTACTTTTTATTTGATATACAATGTTATACCATTTATTTTTTA